AGAGAGAGAGAGAGAGAGAGAGAGAGAGAGAGAGAGAGAGAGAGAGAGAGAGAGAGAGAGGCACCAGCAGCAGATCAGAAAGGCCACTCACCCTCATCCGACACACGCCCGCATGCCAAGTGTCGCGGCCGCCGCTATACCCGGTTGCAAGACCATGCACACTTCGAGAACGCCACACGACTGCCCACGGGCACCAGGACATTGGCCAAATCCCGATTCTACTGCAACATAGGAACGTTCTAGAGTGGGATGTCCCGGGACCAGGCCCGCATATGTCATTTAGCCCATGTGTCCAAGGTCCCCGTGGGCCCAAAGGAAATCCGGGTTGCTTCGCTGCACGGGTGCTACTGTGCTCCAGTGGTCAGTTTTCACAGGGAGGTTGACAGGATATCAATACCAGTGGATTATTGTCATGGTTCTGTTATCTGTTGGGAAAGCAGGTGCTGTTGCCCCTTCCCACCCAGCAGATGGAGTGCCCGTGAAACCGGGCTCAAGCTTGTGGGGAAGGAGGGTCATCAAAATTGAACTAACTCTACAAATATAAGGGTATGGTTTACCCTTCTCTGTGCCATTGGATGTCTTTCTATTTTCATCCATCTATCTCTCTCTCTTTCCACGCCTGTCTCTTTATCTCTATATTCCTACATCTCATCCCGATCCCAAGGTCCCTTGCTGGGACCCAAGCTTGTTGGGGAATGAGGGTTAGCTTGCATTCTAAGAAAACAAGGGTATAGTTTATCCTTCTTTGTGCCTATTTACCAGTTTGGATTTCTTTTGATCTCCGTCCACCTGTATCTTTCCCTCTTTTTTTGGCTCCCGTCTCTTTATCTATATTCCCGTCTCTTTATCTCTATTTTCAAGTTGCCAATGGCCTTGTTTACGTGTCTTTTTATTTGTTATTTGTTGTTGTCAATCGCCTTGTTTACGTGTCTTTTTATTTGTTAGTCAATGTGTCATATTGATCTTGATTATTGTCTGCCACACCTATTACCTCGTTGCTTATCTCACTGGCAAGTAGGAGGAACGCATGTATATTTTTACACCTACCTTTACATTCACGTTGGACCTGATTTATAGGAAGTGTTGTTCCCCACCAATAGATTGGAGCCATCACAATCAGGGAGAATCCACTCTGGCAACTTGTTCATATCACTTACTAAAGTAGAGAAGTACCCCCAATGCTCTCCCCCCTTCCCCCAAAAAAAAAAAAAAACCTTTATATTGATGTGCTCTTTGTCAACCAATTTGTCCTTTTGTTTTTTATGACTTCACCTTTGTCTGCTTTTTCATTAGCCTCTATCAAACCATACATTAGTTTGTTTGCCTATTAGTTAAACTACCACTTCCCCTGGTGCAAATTTAATTCAAGGGACTAGTAGCACTTTTCATAAAATATTATCGGTGTACCAAAAGAAAGAAAAAAAAATGCAAAAAAATGCAAAAACGACGCGAACATTTTTGCCATAAAATATATATATATATATGATTTTTTTGAAATGCCCAAAGCGCAAATTTATAGCAAGAGTGTTCTTACATACAAACAATCGAACAAGAAAAATGATTAACGTTGGTGCTCTTCAATTATTGCACCCAATTATAACCTTTCACGGTTGACAGCATGACCACCATCGTTACTAATCCATATCGTGGCAGACTCACATACGATAATTTTTTCTTTCTTAAGTCAGATACTACTTCTTTTCAAAGCTAAATCACTTCAATCGCATGTTGAGTTTGGTAAGATGACCTTTTATACCTTTTATTATCATTACTTAGGCTACCAAAGTGGCCCAGAACCACTTGACCGCCCAGGCCAAAAAAAATAAAAAAATACCAAGCTTCAGGTGGGCAGCCCAAATCACCCAGTTTTCCCGAGCGGTCCCGTTGTGCAAAGGTCGGGAAAGGTCCGAGCAAAAAACAAAATCAAAATTTTTTGAGAAAAAACTATGTTGTGCAGAAAAATAAGTTGAACAACTTTTGTCTGAGGGGCACATCAAAATTGTTTACCAAATTGTTTTTTTTTGCCTAGTCGGGCAAGTGGTCCTGGGCCACTCCGGTGGCCTAAAAAAATAAAATAAAAAAATTGTGAAAAATTTAAATGTAATACTGAGACAAAAGTTGTTCATTTTATTTTTTTTTCATAACTTAAGGTACCAGTCGGGCGGCACGGATCACTTTGTTTTGTCGGGTGGCCCGGCCGTACAAGGACCAGTAAAGGTCCCCAAAAAACAAAAAAACAAAAAACGGGAAAAAACTGTGTTATGCCAAAAAAAAAAAAATTGAATAACTTTTGCTTCAGGGTCACATCAAAATTCTTTACCATATTTATAATAAAAAATAATTAAAAAATATTTGACGATATATATGAAACTTCGACGAAACAATTTGTCACCGTCTCTCCTTTGTTGTCATTTTCTCCCTCTCTGCCTACGGTTTACCGGACAACTCTGTTGGACGATATATATATATATATTTTTTTTGTCCGGGCGGACAAGTGGTCTCGGACCACTCTGGTAGCCTAGTGCATAACATAATTTTTTTCCATTTTTTATTCTTTTTTTTTTTGGGGGGGTATTGTTCCCCCTTGATAGCAACCCAACTCCCACTTGATCTCTCTCTCTCTCTCTCTCTCTCTCTCTCTCTCTCTCTCTCTCTCTCTGTCTCTCTCTCTCTCTCTTTCTCTCTCTCTTTGCCTCTGCTGTTTCCCCTTGGCAGCCCCTTGATCTCTCTCTCTCTCTCTCTCACTCTCTTGTTTATTTTTTATTTTTTTTGGCCACTGTTGTTCCCTCTTGGTAGCAATCCGACTCCCACCTGATCTCTCTCTCTCTCTCTCTCTCTCTCTCTCTCTCTCTCTCTCTCTCTCTCTCTCCTCAGAAAATCGAAATATATACTACGACATCGAAATATACACTTCCATCGATAGGATGATCTCTCTCTCTCTCTCTCTCTCTCTCTCTCTCTCTCTCTCTCTGAATATTGAAATATACACTTCCATCAATAGGTCTCTCTCTCTCTCTCTCTCTCTCTCTCTCTCTCTCTCTCTCAGAATATCGAAATATACTTCCATTCGATTTTGCTCATCCTATCCATGGAAGTACTCTCTCTCTTTCTCTCTCTCTCTCTCTCTCACACACACACACACACACACACACACACACATATGTGTAGTAGTGAATATTTCGACGTTCAAGTGGAAGATTCCATCAATTTGGTTCCATCCTTTCGGTGAAAATTGTGTGAGGCCAGGCGCGGTCTATCGATCGAAGTAC